TCTGACCGTACCGGCTCTGTCGCCCCGACTAATTGGGCGACTAAATTTTTTAGTTGCCATTGACTTTTGGCGATTAAAAATGAGGCTTTGGCGACTAATTTTTTAGTAGTCGAATGTGTATTTCCTTGTAATGACGTTATATGATTCTCATATCTTTCGTCTTAGTAATAACTTTTGAGGCATTAGTCCTGGGTCCAAAAAACCTGGGGATACAGTGGGAGACCTAAAAATAACTTTTGAGGCATTATAAATATTTACACAATAAAAATGTTATATAGATTATCGAAAACTACACTGCACCAAATAAATTTACAACTTATTTTAAGTTAATAATTTAAAATTTTACTTACAATTTATAACCATTATATGGGTCATGCTAAATATTAAACAAAATTTAAGAAATACGAGGTGCATTTAGGTTAGGGCCTAAGTTACATAAGCTTAATAATGACTATGAATATAGTGCACTAGCATGTGGATAGTTGTTCTAAACAAATATTTGCCAAAATTTTGAATAAGAAAATTTTGCTTAAAAAATAGGTTGATGATTTGATTTAGAGCATATTTGATAAAACTTAACTAGGACTATTTGAAAATATTAAATTTATTCATACATATTAAATTTTCAAATGCTAGAAGAACCATTTGATTAAGTGTAGATTTTTTTTTAATAAAAATAGTTTATTAATAAGGTTATGTCATACATATTTATAATGTATCATGTCCATTTTTTTTTTATAGTTTGTGATTAACTCTTAAAAATTTATAAAATTCTTATTTGAAATGTGGATTATGCATAAATCTATTAACAAATGAGGAAAAAGAAAATATAAATTCACATATAGTACATAATTACCTTTTATTTGAACTATGCTAACTATAGGCAAACTAGTCATTCTGGCTCAAGTTACCCACTATATAAATATTGAGATTTAGTTACTAGCCATTAAAATGATCTAACACATTTTCAATCAAATATACAATAAAAAACTTAGGCCTATGGGGCCTAGAGTTAAGTTGTTTTATATACGTATTTAGTTTAATTTATTTGTTTAGTATATTAGTTCTAAATTTTTTAATATAAAACAATTAAAAAATTAAAAATGACCTATAGTGGTGAACAAATTAAGAAAATGATTTTAGGGTTTGCAAAATGTTCAATTGGTCTAACCTCTAAAAAATTAGTAAATATAATTAACTAATATTTAATGAGACTGTTTTAGAGCTTATACCTAGCAGCCTAGCAGGATTGAAATCATTGAAGTCTTATTTGAGGAGTGGGTTGAAGATTGGGGCACTGATACTCTATTTTTTTTATTATTTATTCTTCAATTTTGATTGATTGAATTCTACAAAATAGATCAGGTAATTGATTTTACATAATAGATATGGGATAATTGGTAAATTAAAAAACTAAAATTACAAAATTCATCAAGACAAAATATATTTAGATTTTATCGCAAATATAATTATTATATGGGAACTAATTAATGTTAAATAAGTATTCTTTTATATTATAAACAAAGTTTTTGTCATAATTTAATTTCAAAAATAATTTTTAATTATTATGCACGGGAATTATGCTAGTAATATACTAAGGAAAATGTTTAAGACTCTTGGTGCATTTCATTTCCTTTCATTTGTAATTTTATATTTTTAATAAAATTTTTACTTTGTCGATAAAAAAAAATAATTTAAGACTCACAAAACACTTTTTTATAATTTGATCTATAATGATGTGACATGATACATGTCAACTTTTGATTTATCACATACTTAATTGTGTAAGGTCTATCTCTTTTGCCATATTATTGTGGGTAAATTTAACGATCCAATTTGTAGGTCGGTAGCGCTACTCATATACTAAGGGACAAGTTTTGTCTCTAGTTGGTGGTATTGTTGGCTCACGAGGAGCTCATTACAGAGTTGATTTCAATAATTAGAATAGTTTATGTTGTCAAGTTTTATGTGTAGATCATTAAAAAAAATTAAATTGATCTGATAATCATATCTTTTTAATTTTATTATATTTATTTTTTAAAAAAATAAATTATATATTTAAAAAGAAATGATATATCAACTTACTTTCTAAACCTAATGATGTATAAGAGACATGATTGACTAATGATTAGAAAATATATAATAGAGAGAGTTGTCTTAAATATTTTTATTGATTGTCACATTATTGTGTTTGAAAAGTGGATCTAATTTTTAGATTAGAGTAGCAATGTACCACCTACAATATAATGATTAGGGGTCCCTAATGGAAGGGGTTAAAGTAAAACACATCAATAGTTTAGGGAGTTTATTTATACGATTTTTATAATTTAAGGGGCAGGGTTTAATTTGTACATTTTTATACTTTAAAGGATTAAAATTATATTCCTCAATAATTTAAGAAGTCTTTGTGTAAATAACTCTTAAAATTATGACTCTGTTAAACTTGGAGAGTACAACCAAAACACATTATTAATAGATGCATATGAATTTCCAAGATCAATGAAGAAAAGGTGGATTGGTTTGATTATCTGATATACAACAAAGAAAGATGCAGAACATTCATACATATGCTTCTTAATGGAATCAATGATACAACAAGGGATAACAAGGATGATTGTGACATTTAATCACACTGTTATTTTGAGGCATACACACTATTTATGATCACATACAAAACAAGAAAAGTCAATCAAGAAGAAAAAGAGGCATGAAATTCTCCATTCCACATTATTTCATGAATCACGTGATTTTGGCTTCCGGGACCGTGTTTGTATCGATTGTAGGTGGCATAATGATTGGCTTGCCCGATGCAATTGTCGTATTTCACTGCATCACATATGGCAGGCTTCTGTAAAGCGCCAGGCAAAATGTAATTTGGTTTAGGAACAAGAAACCTTCTAGTCGTCTGATTCCATCAACAACTCTTCTCCTTCTTCTCCTTCTCCATCATCTTCTAAGCATTCGGCAATTGTGGCATTGCACGGATCACCAAAGATCATTGAGTTGCTCTTTTTAGCCAAAGCTGCTCCACATATACATAAATGGAGCAAAATCATCAAAAGCAGGACAAAAGAGAAACAGAGGTGGTATGGTTTGATCTTCATTTCAGTTTTCATCTCTCCCTCCCCTTTGGGTTTCTTCTCTTCTCTTGAATTTAGATATCAATTTCTTGATTTTTGTTTGGACAAAACTCAAACTGGCATTTATAGTAGGGGTGCAACTCGGATGGGTTCGCTTGGGTTGGGAGGTTGTCCAAGCTCAGCCCAAGATAAGTTGAGACCTGCCCAAGCCCGAATTGTAACTCGAGGCTGCCTGCCTAAGCTCGACCCGAATTAAACCCGAATTACCCGAGTTGCCCAAATTGTAAATGAATTTCAGTTTTTTTTTTTTGGCAGTTACATTATTAAATTATTAAATTTTGACTCTATTTATATTTTTTTTATATAGAAAATCATTAATACCATCAAAACAAATAATTTATATAATGTAAGAGAGATGCCGTTGTAGTAGTTTTTACAATTTATGAGTGAAAATAAAAAAAGTAAGATTTTATGTTATATACAAATATGATTTAATAATCTAAATTACTTTAATATCATGTAATGACTATCTATATTTAATATTTTTATATATCTATATATGTATAATTCGGGATTGCTCGGATTATTTGACGTCTTTGTGCAAGCTCGCCCAAATTTAATTCAGGCTTCTGAATTTTTGTCCAAGCCCGTACCGAATTAAAAAATATCTTGTCCAAATCCTAAAAAAATTTGAGCTGGGCTTGAATTGCTTGGATTGAGCCTGCCCAAGTTATACCCCTAATTTATATAGCATGGAAAAAAGTCTTGGTACCTTTTCGATAAGAAATGAATGGTCATGCATGAATTTGCATTATTATTATTATTATTTTCGGAAGTCCAGATCCTCTGTAGGTGCTACGTATGTAGTGTGTAGTGCATTTTGTAGACGATGTTGTTTTGGTGCAACCAAAAACAAAACGCAAAAGGCGAAGCTGAAGCTGAAGCCCCCCACTCCACGCCCAACAGCTCCTGCCGGCAGCCCTCACAGTCGTCACTGGTGCCATTCCTACTAGGATTATATTCCTTACTGCTTTAGAGACCACAAGAGCGGCTACTTTCAGGTTGGTTGAGCCATTCAAATTGTCCGAACCGACACAGGCAGCCATAGCAAATGGAGTTGCCGGCATGGCAGCAGCAGTTTGTTCTCAGGCCGTATTTGTTCCAATTGATGTGGTATGTCAACCATGTTCTTATTTGAGATTTATTTTTTATCTTTCGTATAATGTGAAAGTTATCATCTGTTGGGTGTGGTTTGTAAATAAAGAAAATGAAACCCAAAAGGGTGCAATAGAATTTTTAAATTTTTTTATGCATAACAACATTTAGTTGTTCAATTTCTCATCGGCTTCCTACTGAGAATTTTCATGTCATACTTGGAAAGCAGATATTTGTATTTTGGAAATTCCTTTCACTTGAAGTGATTTACACTTATTTTCTTCCCAATTTCACTGTAAGTTGTGGGTTAAGTTGAATTAACTCCAAAATTGAACAATTTTCAACGGGAGAGAGCATCTTTATATTGGAATGCATTTTTTAACATTTTGTTCCTTTGTGATACTAAGTCATTGGGCACTTCTTATTTTACTTTTGGTGTATTATTGTTTCTGCTTAAGAACTTTTATGGATGCTACAATCTCCATTTTGATCAGGTTAGCCAAAAATTGATGGTGCAAGGATACTCAGGCCATGCGACCTATAATGGGGGACTAGATGTTGCTAGCAAGGTTTTGAAGGTGGATGGCATTCGGGGACTATACAGGGGGTTCGGTCTATCAGTCATGACTTATTCCCCATCTAGTGCTGTATGGTGGGCAAGTTATGGTTCCAGCCAACGCTTGATCTGGAGTTAATGCATGTTTTTTTGAACAAGAGGTAATGCATGTTTGCTCAATTTGATTTAGTGGTTGATGTGTTGTGGGAGATCATTAAATTTAGAACTCTGGTCCAACAAGTGATTGTTCCTCGTTTAGTTAATCTTCTTAACCCCTCTGTGGACTTTGTTTTATAATTTAGAAAATTTTCTATTGTAAACCCCCAAGTCAGTTATCCTCAATGAAAGCCATGTCTGTCCGCAACTAGTGTTCACTATGCCTAATGATCTGAAGATTTCTTACTTTCCTGTGATATTGCCTTTATGTGAAGGCAATACTTGAGTGGTCTAGGTATATAAGTTGTGCTTTTCTTGGATTACGTCATAATGAGGAACGGGTCATTTTTTAAATGCATTATATATTTTTCATCATCCATTTTGGTTCTCCATTCACTTGATACAGTATATATTTTTTTAATTTAAAATTTTTCTGCATGATTTTCTTTTTGGCAGGTTCTTAGGTCATGGTAGTACCGAGCATGAGGAATCTGCTCCTAGCCCGTGGACGATAGTGTCTGTTCAAGCTGCTGGGGGGATATTTGCTGGTGCCACGGCATCCTGCATCACAACACCATTGGACACTATTAAGACTCGCTTACAGGTACACCCAGTTGGCTTCAATTTTTTTCCTTTCTCTTGTCAGCTCTGATACTTTGTTTGTGATGAAGTAGTGATTTTTTTTTTTTTTTTTTCTCTTTTGGGTGCTATTAGGACAGTGATTTTTTCTCTTTTTTGGGTTCATGATGTGTTGTTCTGTGAGTAACACATTTTTTAGTGAAAGAAAGTAGAGCGATTGTCATGCACATTAATAGTTAACACTCTTAAGATTGTTACATTCAAAATTTTTAGAAATACCCAACTCGTGCATCTGTTTCAATTCCTTGTTAATACAATTGGTAGGTGTTCCAGAAAAAACCTCAGGGTTTTCACATGATTTTACAGCTTGCTGCTTGCACTACCATGTTCGAGCAAATAGCTTCTTTTGTTGATTTATCCGTTAAACTAGTTGTTTTTGCAATATAGGTCATGGGACCCGAAAAGAAACATACTCTAAGAGAAGTTGTTAAAGGATAAATTGTGGATGATGGCTGGAAAGGTTTATACGGAGGACTCAGTCCAAGGTTTTTCACTATGTCGGCATGGGGAACCTCGATGATACTTTCCTATGAATATTTGAGTAGGGACTCTTCTTTCACACTGTTATTATATAGCGTCATATTTGTTGTTGTTATTATTATGCAGAATGATGAGATTGCTAAAACATTTGTGGATTTGATCATTGTGAATTACTGGATTGGAAAGTTTAAACTGATGAGTTACCCTTTGTTCTCTGGTTATAATCATGCTCAATCAATTTGATTAATTGTGTTTATTCTTCTTTTTTGTACAGAACGCTTGTGTGTCAAAGATCAATAGATTTACCCTTGAACAAAAGAGAATTGGTTTGCAGTTAATTGGGATTTCATATGTTAAAGAAGATAGTTTTGCTCAGTATTTACAGGAATGCTTACCCGGGCGTCCACACAGATAAAGTGTCAACAAATTGTAACCCCTGTTAAATTGACTGGGTAGTGACCCTCATACCTATTAAAACTGGATTACTTCCTGATTTCCTGGAAGGCCTTGTAAGATCAATCTGTAATTCTTTTTAGCTCATTTCTTATTGCATTCTTGGGCTATAATTGAACCGATTTGTATCTGTAATTTGTGTATTCTTAATCATAGAATTTCATTTTATATTCTTCTGTTGTGTTCCCCTTTTGGTTGTTTTCTGTTTCATAGATTACGTCGCCCGGAATAATGGTTATTGGTTGATACAAGGTTAATGTATCAAATGAGGGAGAGACCATAGAACAAATGATGATATGCTGGTTCAAAATCTCCCTACTTGTCATATAGACGCTCAGTTCATTCACAAGGTTTGGTACCAAGAGACTTTAGCAGATTAGTTAGTTAGCACTTGAAATGAAATCTTTCCAATTGGAAGGAAAAAGAGAACGAAAATAAAAGCACCGAATCACTTTTTTAGGATGTGAAAATGTTTTTGTATACCTTCAGTTACAGAGAGTATGGCTGGAGAGACACTAGTGAGTCTAACGTCTTGTTGGCTTTTCCAGAACAGCAGAGAAAAACATCTCATCACCGTCTTTATCAGTCTTCGGCACCACCCTCCACAGCAGCTTTTGATAGCCAAGTCTGGTGAACTCACTCAAGTACAGATTCATGTCTTCCTTCTTAGAAAAGAACCGGTCCACCCAGAGAATACCTTTAGGCCGGAGCACATGGTCCCAATCAAACAAGACAAACTGAAGGAGTTCAATTCCAATTCATCCATCCAAGAACAGAGTAGAATGAACAATGTCAAGTGTGTTGTCAAAGAAAGGCAGTCTTGAGTCAACTGAGACGTAGAGAGGAAGAAGTCCTCTCAGACTCGGTGCTATCACCTCATTAAAAGGTGCCCCTCAATTCAGCGTGGCTGAAGCAATGGTAACATTTTTCTCTCTCATAATTGCAGCAAATGTACCAGTTGTTGGGCTGAAATCCAGACCAACGCGGATCTCCCCTGGCTTTAGACTCAAAACCTCACCGATTGTGAACTCTGCTGAGAGACTCATTGGTTGGCACTTCCCATCCTCGCCTGGAAAGTTCGAAGCAATCAGAGCATTTGTAGAAGCCTCTTCTGTCAATCGTTTCATTTGAAACAAGACAGGTATAGTCTTTTCACAGGAAGTGGCTTGTTGTAGTGTTGAGGTGATTTTGAGAAGCACCTTCTTCTGGGTATTGGCTCACAACCACAGACTACAAGCTTCTGAGCCAGGTCCCAATCATCTGGGCATGTACTATACATCTCGTAGGTCATGAACTGGTCTGTGTTTGAGGCCATACCGACACAACCTAGTCTGATAGATGGGTTAATCGCTTCCAGCCCAAGAAAATTCTTCTTCCCATTAATCCTGTTTGGTTTGGGTGAAATGTAACTGTGAAGCTCAGCAGAGTTGAAAACCTTTCCAGGTACTGATCCTTCTTCAACTTCACTTTCTTTGGGCCCACTGAGGTCTTCCTCTACATTGCTCGATTCATTGCTGCTATTAGGAGCATTGCTGTACAAACCTGATAGAGTCTCTGCTAGTTTGGCTATCGATATAGCGATGGCGAGAACTTGGTCTGAAAATTTATATTTTGCTTTTGGTTCTGAGGTTTCAGAATGCAGCTGTTCTAATAGAACTCCCAATTGGGTCTGCAAATGAGAGATCTGGTTTTGAAGGGAATGAAGTAAAACCGGTTGGAAATCTGAGTTGTTGGTGGCAGAGTTGAGTATGAAATGAGGGTAAGAAACACTGGAAGTGAACATTATGATTGTCAGGAGGGTGATAAAGAGAAGAGGACAGAACAGTGCAAGAACAGAGCCTCCTGGAAGGCATTTTGAGGGCCTGGAGTTGCTTTGTTTCTGCATTACTAAGACAGGTTTTTCTGTGCCTTTTGCTTCTTCTTCCTCTCAGATCATTCTCACTTGGATTTTTGATCAATTAATTCAGCTGTTGACCTAGGAACTAGGAAATGAGTTCAGACTCTCTGTCACATTGATTTCATGTTTGATCATCCCTTGATGCCTTTTTTTCATTGTTTACAACTTATTTTTTGCCTAGGAGACGAGCAAAATTTGAAGTAAAAGCATCTTTGATCTTCCAATTTTAAATTAATGTTTAAAATTGGTCTAGTTTAATTCCTTTGTTGGAGTAATTTCATTTTTTTTTTTGAAGAATTGGTAGAAGAGAAATAAATAAAGGAAATTTACATTTACAATAGGAATACTCAAATCTCGTTTAGCAAGGAGTGCCTTATTCACTAGCTAGCAAGAGATCAATTTCAGTTGATAGTCCATGCAGCTAAATTTATTCATTGCAATACAATATTTAGTAGAATTAAAACCAAAATATATCAAACTTTTACAGATTAAAAAAGAAAAAAACTAAATCAAACCAGGAACTTTTGCAAATCTATCTTGCGCTAATCCATCTTAATTTTTGTTGCCTAAAAATCTTAACCCCACATGTATTGAAGTTGATCTCACCGTCCATTTGGATTCATAATCTCAGAGAAAACAACAGTCTGATGAGAACTAAAACTGTTGCCACTCCTTGCACCACTCTCAGCCGTTGATGTCCCGGTCCCGTTGCTCTGAGAGGTCGAAAACAACATATCATCGTCATCATCGGTCGTGGTCTTTCTTGCCTGAAGCAGAGGATCCGAGGGACTCATCAACCCATCTTCACCGTTGATGTTCCTCTCAGCAATCTCTTGAAGCTGCAATGCAAATTCCAGGCTCCAAATCACATCGCCCATTGCTGGCCGTTCGATCCCAGTATCACGCAAGCAGTTTTCGAATATCTCCCCAAACTTCTTTAAACAGTCCGGCACAATCTGACCCGTTAGATGTGGATCCACAATCTGATCAACGGTCCCTTCTCGCCAACATTTCCGGCCCCACTCGGCCAAGCTCACTTGCTCCTTTTCTAGCCCTGTCACAATTGCGGGCCTCCCACACAACACTTCCAATAACACCACTCCGAAAGAATACACATCAGACTTTTCGGTTAATTTTTGTCGTCGATAATATTCTGGATCCACATACCCAAAACTACCCTTTACGACAGTGCTGACGTGACTCTGGCCCACATTAGTGGGGCCAATTTTCGACAACCCAAAGTCTGAAAATTTGGCCACCCATTTTTCATCCAATAGTATGTTGGTAGACTTGACGTCGCGGTGAATGATCATGTGCTTCCCTCCTGTATGGAGGTAATGGAGCCCACGTGCAGCACCGATGCAGATCTCGAGGCGTTGCTTCCACGAGAGAGGCGGATTGTCTGATTTGTAGAGATGATCACGGAGGGTACCATTGGCCATGTAATCATACACCAAGATCATCTCACCATTATAATCGCAGTAACCGATCAGAGCCACAAGATGGCGGTGGCGTAACTTGGATAGCATTTCGATCTCTGTTCGAAACTCCCGGGCCCCTTGGCTTGATGATGGATGCAGCCTCTTGATCGCAACAGTGGATGTGCCGTTATCAATGTACCCTTTGTACACGTAACCAAATCCTCCGGTGCCGATCACAAAATCCTTTTTGAAGTCGAGCGTAGCAGATTTGAGTTCTGCTAGTGAGAAATGTCGGCAGAGATTAGACGGTAACGTTGAAGCGTTAGTCTTCGTGGACTTCGACGTGTGCGAAATCGAAAATTGGACCCACGATGACTTGACCACGCTTCCATCGGAGTCTCTCTCCCTCCTCCGTCGCCGGAAAATCAAGAAACCAATCACTGAAATCAAGAATACTCCGCCGATCACACCTCCGGCGACGGCGACGACCAACGACGACGACGTTTTATTGATCTGTTTGCCCGGTAGCTTTGGATACGGTGCCGGCGGTACAGGAACGTATTTAGGATTGGGCCCGGCGAGACTTCCGTCCGATTGATTCAATTTGAAGATCTCTAAACCGTTCAAGATTGCATCAGCGGACCAGGGCTTGGAGTCCATATTCGGGTGCATCGCGAGCCACAAATCCACCTTACTCCGGAGACCATCGACGGGTGGGACCCAAAGAACATAGTCTTTGAAAACAGGAATTCCGTTACCCCCACTCAAGAGTATAACATCAACCTCTGGATCAGCCGTCTGATTATTCATATACACAGAAAATACCCTCACATTTCCTCTGGTTACCTCCAGTTGAAACTCGCAAAAATGAAGCCTAGCCAGGTACCAGAAACCAGAATCAACGGTGAAGATCCAAGTCAAATTGTACTGCAAGTTTATTTGTACGTCATGTCCCATGGTCCGAGCCGTGGTGTACACAGTCACCGGAGCAGTGTAATTCGGTGTCTCGTTAGTGTACAGAATTGGGACCTCACGGTGAGGCACCAAACCAACGGCCGTGCCGATATACGGGTCATCTAGATGCCAGGTCCGGTACATGCCGGTATCGTCATTCACAGACACGTCTTTGCCACCGACGTTTAACCGGTACAGAGTTTCAAGAGCAGTGTTGTTATCGATATAGAAAGATTGTTGAGAGCCAACAAGAGGGATAGGCTTGAGATCGCCTTTCATGTAGAAATTGTTGGGAATCGAAACGACTTCGATGCCGTTGATAAAGGCGTATGAGTAGGGAGATGGGTTGAATGTTATGTCGAGCTTTTGGGTGTCTCTGACATTGACAATGAACTCTTTGATGAGAAAGGATTGTTTGGGAACCAAAGCAGGGACGGTGAGGAAGGCACTGAAGTTGGTTAGGAGGGTGTAGTTTGCGGCGGTGACGGAGAAGTAAGATTTTGATCTGTCGAAATTTGAGTAGTTGGCTGGGTAGAAGTAGAGGCGGATGAATTTGGGGCCGGAGGAGACGGGGAGAGTGTAGGTGAATTTGGAGGTGAAGATGCGGGCGTTGAGGAAAGGGGTGTCGGTGACAGAAGAGTCTTGTTGGGTGGCCGTGGATGGTGATGAGGTGGTGCCGATGTTGGACGGTGAGAATTTTGAGGTGGCATCACCGTCCCACCTCCGGCCGTCTTGTGACGTGGCGTTGGAGGATGAGCCGCAGTTGAGGAGGAAGTAATCGGTGGGTGTGTAAGGCGGTGTTTTGACCGCGGTGGAGGAGAGGAGGTGGAGTAAGGAATAGAGGTAGAGAGCGAGGGTGAGCATGTTTGGGGTGTTGAAGATAAAATGTTTGATGTATCGTCAAGTCCAACCTGGAAGCTAAGGTAGTTTTTTCAATTCTAGTTGGGTGGTGGGTAAGAGAAGACTTGTAATTGACTCCGAGAGAGAGAGAGAGAGAGCTTGGATTGCTTAATGGTGGTCAAAATTGGCGCTTCACGATGGGACCTTTTAGGCCATGTAATAGATATTTTCAAGCCACTCCAATATTTTTTTTGGCCTTCATGTCCGAAATTTCTTGGAATTGTTAGCTTTCAGAATTGAATCTAGGGTTTTCATTTTCTATGACCAATTTTATGTTTTAATCTTGTGTTCTTGGAATTATTATGAAACTAATGTCTAATTAATCTACATCAGAACAATCAACCATAATAGTTTCATGCTTTGGCATGGATGAAGCTTGAAGGGATATGCCTATAGATTCTATTAAGTGTCAAATCTCACTAAGGTCAAGTTTGGGAATTTGTAAAAAAGTCAAAAAGTTATTTAAAAAGTTAAAAGTTAACATTATTCACCAAAAGTTATCAATTACGGCTGCATAACTCCCAATTCGAATTTTTCCCTATAAATCAATTTTTATAATTTTTTATTACACATTTTTTCATAGAAAGTCAAAAAGTTAACCCAAACATCCATATTTTCAACCTCAATTTTTTAGTCCAAAAAGACAAAAAATACACTTATTTAGGACACCCCAAACAACCCCTAAATATAATGCAAAGTTAGTTTACTTTGGTTGACAAATAACTCACTTAATTGGGAATAAATATCAAGTGCAATATAACGAGTAGAAAGTTACAAACAAATATAAGATAGACATCATTTAATTTTGATTAATCCAACCATGTACTTCTCACTATTGTAATGTGATATTTTTTTTTGTTGCCGATGCGACTCATTGTAATAACATCCTAAATATTTGCCAAATTTAATGATGACGTATATCAATCATTTGATCAATTTGTTAGAGAAATTAACATATTGATTATATTGTGAAATATACTCATGGGTTCTTGCTAGATTCCCACAATCTCAGGCTTTTGTGTGCACCAACCAAGTTTGGAAAGAGGGTTGGAGGCTAAAATAGTTAATAAAAACAAAATAAGTTAAAATAGTTAATAAAATAAACGACAATGCTACGTAGCTCAAATTTTGTGGCTCAAAAGTGGCTCAAATGGCCAAAACGACGTCGTTTTGAGTACAGAACAACATAAAAATGGCCAAAACGACGTCGTTTTGGCCATTTGAGCCACTTTTGAGCCACAAAATTTGAGCTACAAGACATTTTCCTAAAATAAAATGTCATATTTAAATCATAATTATTTCACTTTTTCTCTCACAACAATTAAATCAACTATAAAAAAATCAACTATCATCGTAAACACAATTTGTTTAGTTAAGTTAAAATCGTCATAAAATTAACTAAAATAGTAAAGTTCCCAAACGAGCCCAAAATAAGTGCAAGTATTGGTACTACATTTTGTCCGTATTGCTTGGAAATCAACAAAGATCATCTATGTTCAATTGGAAATTCCCGAAATCTCCCTGTTAAACTCGGAGAGTACAACTAAAACACACCACTAGTAGATGCATATGAATTTCCAAGATCAAGAAAGAAAAGTTATCAAAGAAAGATGTAAAACATTTATATATATGCTTCTTAATCGAATCAATTCTACAGTAAGGGATAATAACAAAGATGATTGTGACATTTAATCACACTGTTATTTAAAGGCATACATATATGATCACAAAATAAGAAAAATCAATCAAGAAGAACAAGAGGCATGAAATTCTCCATTCCACATTATCCAAATCACTCACGATGTTTGATGAATCATGTGATTGACTTCATGAATTCATCTGGGACTGTGTTTGCATTGATTATAGGTGGTACAAGCCCAACTATCCTTATTGGCGCGCCCAACACAATCGTTGTATGGCTTTGTATTACATACTGTAGGCTTTTGTAGACTCTTGTATGAAATTTGCTGTTGGTTATAAACAAGAAACCTTCTACTCGTCTCTAATTCCATCAAGAACTCTTCTTTTTCTTCTCCTCTATCATCTACTAAGCATTTAACAATGGTGGAATTGTAGCTCCTAGAGGTCATTGAGTTGCTCTTTTTACCTAAAGAGAGATGGATGAAAACATCAAAAGCAGGACAAAAGAGAAATGGAGGTGGTATGGTCTGATCTTCATTTCAGTTTTCATCTCCTCTTTGGAGCTTTTTCTGTTGAATTTAGACATCAATTTCTTGATCTTTGTTAGGACAAAACTGGCTCAATCAATCACGTTTTCTCATGCACCTATCTATTCAATTATAAAAAAAAAATTAAAATTACACATCATTCTAAATTACAAAACTCCAATTGCAAACTTTATTTTTAAAACTAACTTCTATTCAAAATTATATTAAAAATGCCACAATAACTGTCACATAAGATGAAAAAATATATTATTATATTAAAATTTAAGTTTATTTTAGAAGTGCGATATAATAAAATATTGTTATGTCACGTATTTGTCAATGTGTACTTTAAACAAATCTTAGGGGGTATATTTGTAATTTTCAAAATTACAGAGGGTAATATGTTTTTTAAGCAAACTTCAGGGGGTATATTTGTAATTTATCCATTAAATAAAGAGTAAATTGGTGATAAATCTAATCTAAGGAGAGTATAATGCATTAGGTTAAGTGAATATTCTTTATTGGTGAGAGGTCCATCCTTTATTTTCGTAAGAAGTTTTTTTTATTTGTTTGGAAGGATATTTTGTTTCCTATTTTACCCTTTAAGTTATCTGTTGACTATCTGTTCAAATTTTTTTCTATTTGTTTAAATTTTTGACTATCTGTTCAATTTTTACACCTATTTGTTGAATTTTTTTTTTATTCAAAAATTTATCTGTCCAATTTTCTTTATCTGTTTAAGTTTTTTTTTTTTTTTTTTTTTTTTTTTTTTTTTTTTTTTTAAACCTATGTGTTCAAATTTGCATCTATCTGTCAAAATTTCAAGGTTATTATTATATTTTTTTTTATCTCTCAGACTGATTTGTTCAAATTTTTGTGCACCTGATGGACTGATCTGTTTAAATTTTTGATGGAAACCGTAAGGCTACACATTTCAAAACAGAGCATTTTTTTTTTTTTTTTTTTTTTTTTTTTTTTTTTTTTTTTTTTTTTTTTTTTTTTTTTTTCTAAACCTATGTGTTCAAATTTGCATCTATCTGTCAAAATTTCAAGCTTATTATTATATTTTTTTTTATCTCTCAGACTGATTTGTTGAAATTTTTGTGCACCTGATGGACTGATCTGTTTAAATTTTTGATGGAAACCGTAAGGCTACACATTTCAAAACAGAGTAAGAGAGGAGATATGGACTGATCTGTTTAAATTTTTGATGGAAACCGTAAGGCTACACATTTCAAAACAGAGTAAGAGAGGAGATCTTCCTCCATTGTAGCACCAAACACAAGCACTAGTCGAAAATAGAGAGAGAGCTGAAGAATATTAGCAGCTCCGCGTCTCTCTCGTCACACACAATGTAGAGAGAGAAACCAGAGACAGAGAGAGAGAGCCATGGAAGAAATGAACGGCGACTACATGTACTGCATGACGGGGAATCTCAACAAAATTAAGATAAATCAACAACTGCTAACTAATTAAACTCAGTTCACAAACAGAACCCAACTGAATTCAGATCCGTAAACAACATTTCAAACCCTGATCACCTTCGAAAGCGTTTCGACGATGGTATCAAGAATATGCCTTGACTGACGATCATAATACTCCTCAATAGTGAGCTTCCAACCCGAATCATTATGCGAATGAGGGACCACGAAAACCTTCAATTTCTCCGAATCATACTCATTCGCTTCGTATCTCACCCTCCAACCCTGCTTCCACGGCCCACCATCTACACCCAAAAACTCGATCTTATCATACAAATCCTTGGTCGTGATATCAATAACAGCACTCGAAACAACGTCGCGATCGCCCAATCGAGGAGATTTTTTTCGATTAATCAGACTTTTTCCAGTGCGACAAAAAGGTGGTGGTGCTGCAGTAGCAAGGACGACGTCGTCCCCTCCACCGACGATGTCGTCGCGTGAGCATTTTTTGTGGATCGTCTCTGCCGTGGTGCCGACGTGGCTAGGGTTCAGATTTGCCGTGCTCAACTAGATCTGCCCGCCGGAACGTGAGGTAGAGGAATGGGCAGCGGTGGTGGTAGTTCAGATCGGAGAAAACAAAGAGAAGAGAGAAGAGAGAAGAGAGAAGAGAAGAGAGAAGAGAAGAGAGAAGATAGAAGAAAGAGCTAGATCAGAGACGGGGTAAGGTGGAGGAATGGGCGGTGGTGATGGTGCAGAACTCGCCGGGGGTTAGCGTTCTAGTAGCGGAGTTCGAGGCGCCCCACTCCATTGCGGCGATGGCAACGAATCTATATGGATCTCAGCCTACGGCGGTCTAGAGAAGGAGGAAGAGGCCGACAACCATGGCTCTGTTGTGGTAGCGGTGTAGTAGCTACGGTGGTGTACCCATCGCAGATTAGAGATGAAGAGGAGGATGAGGAGGTGGAGTGAGAGAGATGTAGGAAAGTTTGGTTTGTTTCAAAATCGTGTTTACGTATTTATATAAAATGAATATTTCAAACAATAATGATTCATCCCACTAAAAATATCACAACTAATAGCACTAATGCATTAAAAAAGTATAAAAAAAAAACAAAATACAACTCCAAGATCAAACATCCCACTAAAAATATCACAACTAATAGCACTAATGCATTAAAAAAGTATAAAAAAAAAACAAAATACAACTCCAAGATCAAAATATCACATCATTAATGGCGGGACCCACTGCCACCTAATAAGTGGGAGCACTAATTAGTGCTCTCAAGCATTTTTTTATTTTAAATGGTTTGAATTTTTGGATAAAGAAATTTAATTTTAGACTTTTGATTCGAGCACCTTTAAATTAATTTTTAATTTTTTTTTCTTTAAAAACTTATATTTAAAAATTGATTTAAAACCAAGATTTGATCTGAGTTTAGA